ACCCATGTTTGATTGTTGAACAGTGTCATCTGCATCTGTAAATTAAATATGTAACATTTTGTTTTTAATAAAGATAGTAAATTATTGAAAAATAAATTACATAAATAGATATATAAAAACATAAATACCATTCCCATCTTCAGTCTCTATTTCCTCTTCAAGACTCGTATCATAATGGTCTTGTGTATTCTCAGATATTGTGCTAGTTTTCACATCGTCAATATTTTGCTTCTTAAGATCTTCTGATTTTCCTTCATTTACATCGACTTTGTTTGGCACATTGTTTTCAGCATTGTTTTTCGATGAAACTTCGTTATTTGTAGGCACAATCTTATTAAATTGTGCATCTTCAACATTAGTTCCAGACTTATCATCAAAGGTATTCTTTCCTTTATCAGCCTTTATTGGTGTATTATCTACTACTGCCTTCTGAGTTTTAACTGATCCTTCATTAGACGTTTCTTTTTCTATAGAATAAGGTTTTGTATTCGTGTTTGATATATTGTCAGACATATTTTGCTTGACTTTTATACTATTATCCTTAAAATCTGTTGTAGTTTGTTTTCCAATTTCTTCTTTTGATATCTTATTAGCACCAGAAGTTTTATCTTTAGATAACTCATACGATTGAACTATAGATTGAGCAGGTGCAATAGAGTTATGATTTGGTTTTTCCATATTATTTTCAACACTCTTGATCCAACCAAGTACTGCACACAATGGATGCAAATTATTATTAAAGTCAAAACATATCCTTTTGCATTTATCAAGATTATTAAGATTTTTAATCAATGTTTCCAGATATGAACTTGTTTTATTGTATAATAGTGTAAGTCCTCCTAAAGTTTTACAAAACTCCTGTTGTGAATCTTCCTCGAATCGTTCTTCATTGTCACCAGGAACTAAACTATCTATATATAAACTGATTGATGTACTATTGAAGAAAGTTGGCAACCGACTAGAATATTTACAAATCTTATATGCTGTATCATAAACTCCTAAACACAAAAAGCTATCTACAGTGTTTGGGGTGAAGTCTGGTAAAGCAGTAGGATATTCCAATGATGTGCAGGGTTCTGTATATTTTGAGTCATATAAAAATTTAGATGCATTGCATAGTTTTACATCGTTTTTCATGACATTTGTGATCATCGCTGGCACTGGTGCGCTTATCACTCCTGTGAAGGAGAGAAGTAGGACAAAACAGTTGAGCATAAAGGTGATGGAAAACAAATGTTTTTCCATTATTTATAAAGATGATTTTCCAGCCTCTACTGTATAGACTAATAAATTATAAATTGTCACTTCATCGGTTGATTGATAAACATAGCTTTATTCCGTTAACTTGTATTTTTGTGAACATCAATCACTTTCTGAAAAAGTCTCAAGCACTTTCACTCGCACAATATGTGTTATTGAAATGTAGTATTTCCACTAAAGTACTTTTATCTATCATAACCTTCTCTGGTCGAGTTTTCTACATTTTCCAGAATACTCAATAAGTATCGTCCACGTATGGTTGCTCGTGTCAAATTCTCATTACATAGACATAAATTGCGCCATCTATAGTACTATTAGTATTTCTCCAGCAGAAATTTATCGACAATGAATAAATTCAAATTTATCAAATGGTAATTTTACCATCGAAAACATTATTACCGTTTTAAGATAAAATTATCAATAAAAAAGTATAAAATAATAGCTACACTTATTTTTGATAAAATAATAAAATTAGTATAAAAATATAATAAAAAATATTTTTTAATGCTAATATCAAACTTTTTGTATTTTTCTATTTATTTTACATTGTTCTAAAAAACTGAATTATAATGTTTGATAATAAAACTAATTAGGAAACACATATGGACACACAATATGGAAACATTTTAATATTTTTGTAATTAATTGCGGATGATTATTCTTCGATTTATTTAAAAATATAAAAATTTTAATAATTATGCAAAATTTAACGAATTTCACATAAATGTTAATGTAAAAATAAATGTAAATAAAAATTAATTGTAGTCTATTATTAAAAGAAATTAATTCAAAACAACTTGAAATTATATTCAACTTAGTAACCTAAAATGTAACATTCAATCATCTATCTTGACTTATTTTTGACAATTTTTTTGTATTTTACAAAATTATAAAAGTATTGTTAAATCATGCAATAACATAAAGAAAAGCACAAGCAACGCAAGCAGAAAGTAATCGATCCATTGAAACAAGAAGAAACAGTGCGAAAAGTTATGGCAGTAGAAACGAAAGAACAGAAAATCATAAATGATGTGGAATTTTCTTTGAAGCAACGACGATTTGACAAGATAGCGATAGAAGATGCGCGTGCTGAGATGGAAGCGATTATTCGGCAGAAAGAGATTAGGGATATGAAAATTACGCGAAGAAAAAGCAATGTTACAGGTTAACGCAACGTCAGATATACCTTTCCTATTTTATATATTACATGAAAAAAGATATGTCGCACGTGTAATGTTTCATATATACGAACACTCATAACTGCTCGATAAATAAACTTTATTTACATTTTTTTAATAATGAAAGAATGAAAAATTTGCAAGATAGAAAAATATAAAATATAATAATAGCATATACTTGGATATAAAATATTAATCGCTACAGAAACAAATTGCCTACAATGTTATTTGTATACCAAACATTAAAATAATATTCTAGAATTTAAATCTTTTGATGTAAATTTTCAGTAAACTTGTCAAAATTCTCAATAATTACAGATATCGATTAACACGCTTAATTTATAGATTCGCGAAAATCTCAGTGCTATTATCGAAGCGGGTGTAAAATGCATTCAACCGTCAGTAATCATACCTAAGAAGATTAAATACGATGGTCGTGCAACATTAACAATTAACGATGTTAAATATAAAATAAATAATAATGTACACATTGTTGGCTGGGGCAAGGAAGTTGTTGAAATGAGCTCGGCGTTCGAAAGGATGGTTGGTAAACAATTGAAAAAAGGATTTATAGTAGTACCTCGCAAATCGATCTCTATGATGTGGAGCTTTCCGGAAGCGTTTCCAAAGTTGGACAGCCGTATAACTTTCGTTGAAGCCGGGACGGATGGGCAGCCGGATGAAAAAGTAGTTGAGATTACACGGAAAATCATGAATTATTGTAAGCGACTGAAAAAACGCGACTTGCTGATTGTTATGCTGTCACGGGATTCAGACGATCTTCTCTGCTGCCCGCGGGATACAATTACGTTGAGAGATAAGTTAAGAGTTCTGAACAGGTTAAAAGCTGCTAATGCGACTTCTGAAGAAATCAATATCGTGAGGAATAAACTTTCTGCGATAAGAGGCAAGTAGTTTATTTAAGTGTGAGAAAATTTTATTACCTGCTGATCAAACTTTTGGCACATATTTCGTCTCTAGCGTTCCTGGGAAATTTAAAGGCGATAAATTTACATTAAATAAATAAGTTTGAAGACTGAGATAATTATATTATTTTTATAATTAAATAATATGCGTCAGAGTTTGTAATTAAAATTAATTTATTAATTGTTTGATCTTATAATTACATTAACGTATATCGAAGAACAAAGCATAAATAGAAAAATTTGATTTATATTTTGATAAATAATGCTATTACACTTTTTCTTTTGTGTCTATAAATTTGGACAAATTCAATTTTATCCTTGCATTAAAGAAAGTTATAATATTACCGAAAGAAACTTTTTCTCTTTTAATAAATAATCTATATCTCTAATCTAAAAATATGTATATCCTCTTATCCTCTTTTAAAAAAATATTATAAGTCTTTCTAAAAACAAATAGAGATTGTAATCGAAAGATAGGTACAGAAAGAAAGAAATTTTAGGTGGTGATCTGGCGCGTCTGGCTTATCCGGCTAAAGTCATCACCCTCTTCACATCTGACGTGTCAGCAGAACCGCCGGAACAATTGGGAGGTGGACCGTGCGTTCACGATTCAAAGGACCGAAAGGCCTTGATTATTTTGGCGAAGTACAAACTTGTTGACAAAGTGTCGCAGAGCGTTCGCCAACTGTTGGGGGAAATTAATCCTCGAACAGTGGCGGCTGATACTCAATTAGATGCGAAGAAGAGATATAAGTTCGTGCAGCAATATGTGATCGCGTGCAACGCCGACGCTATGGAATGTATGGCTACGGAGGCTCTCAAACTAGGACTGTCCCCCTTGAAATTAAACTCCATCTGTAGCGGCGGCGTCGAGGAATTCGCGCAGGAATACGCGAAGATCGCGTCCTTAATGATCCTGGCGGTTGAGAACAAAATTACCAAGTTGGAGATGTACGAGCAGATGAAGGAGAGTGCGGTGTGTCCTCTGACCGACCGGGAGGTATGGGGGATGTTTCCCACGAAGGACAAATGGGGTCTAGGACTGTGCCTTCTGCTGGGAGGCCGGCCGATTGTTCATCTCTGCGAGCGTCCCGGGAAGGGTGGACCCAATCAGGAGCTCGCCCTCTACTTCTCCTTATATTGGTACATGCGTACGCAGCAATATCCAATTTTGCGAGGATACACCGTCTGGTTCCTCGGCGGCAGCTCTCATGGAAAAGACGGCAATACCAGCGCAGCTGGCGCATTCGGATACAAGAGCCTAGCTACTGACGTTTACCCGGAATACGAAAAAGCGAGGAGTACGTATAAGGCTGCCTTTCTGAGATGGCGGAAGCTCACCAAGGATAAACAGAGCGAATGGGAGATCGCGGTAAGAACGCGACAGCGATAGCCTACTTTATTTTTTATCGCGCGCGTACGGCCGGATAAAGCGGAAGCGGTGAAATATTGAAACATCACGCCGGGAAACCGAGGCACGGAATACTGCCTGCCGGAGGCAGGCAGGAGGGGAGGGATTTTAGGGAGGGTTTTCAATGCAAAGCACTTTGCGAAACATAATGCATAGAAGTTCCAACTTGTATTATTGTGACGCTTCGTCAATCCTCGCGGCGCGATAATACGTGCAAATCTCTCTTTGCAGGAAGCTCGCCGGACGGCGAAAGACACGGAAGAGACGGTGGAGAGATACGCCGCCGTTCTGCCGGAGCGAGTTTTGAAGGAAAACAACGCGAATTTGTTTTTTTCGAGTATCAACGACGGCGACGAGTTATTGCTGCTGAAGAGAGAAAATTATTACACGCTCGCAAACGTCGGAGATCTTCATGTTATACGAATCGCGCGCTTCCAGTGCAACTGCAGCAGCGCCTGTCATAGAGACGAAGATAGGATATGCGCCGATAGAGACTGTCCTGTCAATCGCGCGTTATCGGCGACGGTAGTCCCGGTGTTACAATATTGTTGTCGGCTCGGAGCACCGAAGAGCCGTTGATTATTTACGACCTTGTTGTGCGCCGGATTTTGTGATGGATTTTACTCCGCTCGCGCTAAATTCACCCGGTCCGCGCGATTCTTTGCTTCAGCACATGGACGTCTCATTCATTTCCCATTTGGTAACACGCTAAAAATTTATAAACTGTTTAAAAACGTATTTGTATTAATAGCACGTCTTTAATTAAGTGCGAGAAATATATAGCTATACATTGCGATAAATATCAGAGCGGATAAAAACGATGGCGTATGATAAAATTTTAGCATGACTTACGGCTCCATCGCTTGTAAAATTCAACGGATATTTCTAAATTTTGACATTTCTTTTCGATTCGCATATTTCTGATTCATTGCCGATGCAATAATAAATGGCGCGCGTCGACGAAGTAAATGCAGCTATACATTCTACTATCTTTATTTTAAAATCCTAAAATTTACAACGTTATGCGCGTTGTGTTCACATTTTTGCTGTGATTCAAAAATTTTCTGCGTCAAGTAAAACGCGTCGAACTTTTGTTTATTAAAAGATGTGTATATTTGTGTCATCATAACACTCTTAATATACACAGCTGTCTGCACTATTGATAACTTATTAATTTTTATAGCCTTTCGCGAGCAGTGTAATGTGCGTCATTTGTTATGCAACAGCGTTATTTTATGATAAATGACATAAATTTCAGAGTAAATGCCAATTTCAATTATTCTACGAAATTTCAATTACTCTACGAGATTTCAATTGCTCTACGAAATTTCAATTACTCTGCGAAATGAAAATTACGGATGAGATAATTTATTTTGTAAATTAAAATTTATTGTCAAGGTCAAAATAATTTCTATTATGCGATCGGCTCCTCGGGCAAGGATGAACGAAACGAAAGTCCCACGAAGCTCATTTCGCTCTTCCTTGATATAATAGAGATCTCCTAACTTGGCATCTCCCATGGGCTCGGTACCAATCCCGTTCAACAAAGCCCTGGGAATGGACTCACCTACTTCGACGACATATCCGTGGTACAGCGCAGTTCTGAGTGCGTTCTTTCTTACAGTTTCTTCGTGACCGAGTCCAAAATGCCCCTTGAGAATACCATTTACGGAATGCGTGCGCGAACTTCCTACATTTAACATATATTGCTCAGCTTAATCCGATCAAGTTAATCTGTTGTTGGAAACAATGTTTCTTCGCGTAATCAATAATCCAAATAGTTAAGTAAGATAAAGTTAGAATTTGAAAAAAAATATTGCAGCTCACTAACGCAACTAATTATATTTAAATTCAATATTTTTATTATATTTAAAATCAAAATTAATAAGATTAAGTACAAGATCTTGTCAATTTCTTTTAAACATATATTGAAAATTCTTTACTTTTTCTCTCTTTCTTATAATTAGTAGATAATGTAAATCTTCAATAAACTTAATTAGAAAAATGCAGAAATGTGTATTTTTTAATACAGTGCAGTTTTTAAATTGTCGCGATATATTATAATGATATATTATTTTACTTTATGAATTGCATGACTTTGTGTTAGCGTATTGTAAGTGTAATTGTATATAAAAGAATTCTAAGCATATCTGTAAAAAAGATTACATCAGAGGACGAGAAAGCAATCAAGTATGGAATAAATTTTTATGGTCTTATCTTCATCTCTGACCTCACATTTACGATTATATTGCAAGCTATAAATTTAGTTCAACATCGAGATTCCTCGTAACAGTTTGTTGAATCTCTTTTGCGAAGCAACATATATTCCATAATGAAGCGTTTCGCGTTATTCTGCATTTTCTTGCTATTCGTACAGTACTCAGTGCAGGTTCCTAAATATGGTATGTATTTTGACTATGAAATCTTGTGTGTACTTGCGCATTGTTTTCAATATAAAATATTTCAAATAAACTTGCGAAGATCTTTTAGATATTCTTGTGTGTAATTCGAATAGGTTTCTTGTTGTTGGTTTAATTATTTTGTAAATCTGTTAAATAAATAAATCAATAAAATAAAATGTAATAAAATAAAAAAATTTTTGAACAATTATTTCAGAAAACTGCCTCAGTGAAGTGCTGCCTGCGGCAGATCGACAAAGATGTGTAAAAGTAGTATGCACGTCGAATAATAAATTCAAAGTAGAAGAGTAAGTCCAATGAATTATACAATAAAATATCGAAATATTTAAACATTAAGTTAATATACATTATTATTATTTACTTTAGGTGTAGTTGTGACAAGGATGCAGGACAACATTTTGGAGAACGCCATTCCGAATATCCTGCTTGCTGTCCGCAATGTAATAGAAATCGAAAGCACTAAATATATGAGTGATATAAATTTCTACATTATAAATATATTGTACTACATTAACATTGTTTTATTGTTTGTATAAGAAAAACAAATTTATTCAATTGCCAATATGTATACTTATGCAAATTTTCTTTTTGAAATAAAATTTTAAACTAAAGAATCAATAATAAAATCATATTTTTTAATCAATTTTATTGCATTTTTTATGTTTTGTTATAATTTTAATTATAAACTTTTAATATTAACATTTCTTAAATTAATATTTAATAGAAGAAGATTTTCTTCAAATTTTCTATGTTAAAATTAATTAAAAATTACTCAATAATTTATTTATTAAATAATTTATCAATAATTCATTTGTAGTTGAAATAGACAGCAATAAAATATTTTGTATATATGCATAAATTTAAATTATAAAGCAAAACAATATTTACATAATGTAAACTTAGATAATGTTAGATTCAATGTTAATTAATGCTGATGCTACGAATAACTAACTGTTGATCACGTGTAAACATTCGTTATCTTACGTTAGTATGCGGATATTCATATGTAAATGCTGAGTCGCCGCGAAGACTGCACACATGTGTCTTGTTTGATAAAATACGTATTTTCTAGTTTAATCTTTCCACAATAATCAAACTTTATAGAAATTGACGAGAATACTTTTGCGTATATATTTTTCTACGTATATTTTACTTTTTCATCTTTACATCTTTCATCTTTGCTGGTTTCAGTATGCAAATGTATTAAAATAAATTTTATAACGTTAATAATATAGATGCAATTAGAATAAGCGGCTAAAATAGTACGTCATATATTTGTAACACATGTGTAATTGTTATGGGAACGATGAGAAATCAACGATTAAAATTCATGTAAAAAATGTCATACTTTCTTCACACATCGCGGATTTGTCAAAATGCAAAACTTTATGAAGAATGGTTCCCTAGAGTATAATGGCCGACGAAATCTTGATTAAGCATGAAGCGGAGTATATTTCACGTAGTATAGAGGCAACCAACCGAGAGGAGCCATCGCTGTACATTTGCATCTCTCTGCAGAGAAGCTACGGCTAAATATGCACCGCTCGTTACTTAACCAACCACCAAGCAACGTCGGTGAAGCTCTGCCTCTGCAACTGTAGATCCACCGCGAAATTCTACCATGCTTACACGCACTACGTCGTTTTCCGCGATTTCATGTTGAAGTATCTTAATTCAGAGCAGTTTGATTAATTATGATTTGACATTTATCGCATAAAATTACGTAATATTTTTATTAGATTTTATCTTGTTGCTCTTTGCTCATCCACTGTTTTATCTGATTGTGAGTGTAGTAATTGATCTACATACGCAAATTTTTTAAGTTCTCTGAGATTAACGTGAAAATCGTTAATGCGAAACCGATATTTTATGTGCGACAACTTTATAATTGACGTTGACGTTGCATTGTATAACTAAACTTCTATCTAAAAAATTTCTACGTGCTCTTCGGTTAAATCTACAATGCAAATCGAATTGCGGATAAAAATGCTCGTGAGCCAGACATGAAGAGATGACATATGCTGTATAGGTACATTTTTTTACCCTAGAGATCTCCAACTAAAATACATGAAATATAAGAGGAGCGGCAAATTTCCATATAAATCTCAGCATTGTTCTTTTGCACCGGAAGAACTGACAGACTGTGGAATAAGCGTTAGCAATGATATATTGCCCTAAAACAGATTAAACTAGTTGGCTTGATACCGGAGTTATGATGCTATCCAAAGGATATGCGACAGATTTTTCTTCATTAAAGTTACAATACCAGTACGCTAAGCAAACATTTAAACGACATGTAATTTATTTTACCAAAATATAAAAAAACGTCTTCAGCGAGCAAACGTTTTTAAAAACATTTTTCAAACAAAACTGTTATTTATGTAGTATTCTGAACAACTTTCAATTTTTAATTTAAAAGGATTAATGTAATATATTTTTTATAATAAATTATGCTGACAAAATGTACAATTGTGTTAATATCAGAAATATGTAAAAATACTTCTCAATGAAATAAAAGTATAATTACTTAATAAATCAATAGCTATTTAAATAAATATGATTATACGGTTTTTAACGAATTTCACAGACAGCGATAAACATTTTAATAATAAACTAGAACAATACAGGCGCGCGCACTTATTATAGTAATTTAATAATTATGAAATGTAAATATTTTAATACAATTTTTTTTATTTTAAATAACCGTCAAAATAACCTTCGCTCTCAATCTATCAAACTATCAGAATAATCGCGATAACCAATCAACGTCGCGGAAAAGCGTCAACAATACTTTCGATACATTCGAGTATCGATCTTTCATGCCTTTTTTAAGAGTGGATTTATAATGTATTTTAAAGTACTCTCTTATCGTAATAAATTTCTCGATTTAGCTTGATTACAGAGACATTTTATAATAAAATTAAAAGTTCTTTAATAAAGGTTCTCTATATCATTTTTTGTATTAATAAAAATGATTTATTGCAAAAAATATATTGAGTTTCTTGCATGAAGAACTAATCTACAATCTTAATCAATCAAGCATTGAATGAAATCATCAAGATGTAATTGAATTGCGTTTATAATCTGTAATGAACATGAAATACGATCTGCACGGTCTCTGTCCTATTGGTTGACTGATTATGGAATAATTGGGTTGGCAGACGGTAGCAATTCTGGTCGATGCCAACGTGACGTTATATATTCCAGTGAATTTCGTGAGTCCGCGGAATTAACGCGGAAAAATGAAACTGCCAAAACTTTTATGAATTCACAAGTATAGACTCTCATGCATGTTGAACGAATCACGCTCTACCGACGTGTCGTTTCGATGGCCTGACCACGACAACGGAA